CCATATTGTACTGTATTTTGTTTCATATTTTTGTGGTTAAAAAAAAAAACATGGTTCAGAACGGATTAACCTTTTTTACATTGAACTTTATGGGGAAATTTGATTCGGTTCGCGACCAATTCGGTTCGCAACCAGAATTGTGGAACAAATTAAGTTCGTGAACCGAGGTACCTCTGTACTTGGGGCTGCCCTTGAAGACCACTTGGAAGCTATAGCTGGTCCAGAGTACGCGATGCAGGCAGAGATGGACTTGCTATGACATGCTTGCGTAACGCCTCTGCTGGCTGCCATTTAGCTTTTGGGCGCAGTTTAAGGTGCTGTAGCGAGTCAGGAAGGTGACCTTGATGGAGATATGCTGGAACCAACCGTTGTCTAGGCAAAAGGGGCTGAAGCATTTTTTAAGCCCAGAGCAATGAGATGACATTCGGAAGTGACTCAATCACCTCCCTCGTTCACTGAACTATGAGGAGCAGGAGCCGGAGGCGCAGCACAATCAGGCTTGCAAGATTCTGCTGTTATAGCCACTCTCAGTAAAAGTGGTTCTACTGCTCCTGTAGAGTGGATGTCCTGGTCTGGTCTACCTGGTGGGGCTGACAGGTGGTGCAGGTTATCCCCTCCAGAACCCCACGCAGCATAGGGCCCGGTTACTGGGAGGACTCCTGTCCCCCTCCCTGTCAGGGTCCAGGAGAGGTGCCTTTTCTGTCGCAGCACCTGCCTCTGGAGAAACACCCTAGTGGCATTCAGAAAGTCACTGAAAACCTGGCCATTCTCCCAGGCTTTGGGGTTAGGGTGGCTGTCGGTCATTTTTGGGGTGTGCGATGTGTGCTTCTTCCAGCCCGACACCGTTTCTTTTCTCTGTTGTTGTTCTTCCTTTTAATGTGTCTCACACACACACACCAGGGAATTTGGGCTTGGGAGACTTCTGATTTCGAAAGGAAAAGGAGAGGAGAGGAAGAGGTATCCCAGCTCTTCGAACTGTGGCCAGGTTTCTGCTCCATTGCAATTGTGGCAGCATGTCAGAATGCTCGCAAGCTTTGATTGTTGGCTTGATTGTTGGCTTGTTTCTTACTTGCTTTTTACCTGCTGCGGTTGGTTCTGCCATTGAAAGGTGTGGGGGATGGGGAAATGGATGGAGCACGGCTAGAGGCCGACGGTGGCCCCTTATCACAGGCGCTGGAAAGCAGCTCAGGGCCGTCCCGGCAGGAGAATGAGGAGACTAAGCAGGCGGGGGGGAGGGTGAAGGAGGGAAAAGGGTAAAAAAAAACTCTTGGCGCACACAGGCTCAGTCTTAGCAATGCTTTGGAGCTGTACACTTGTTCTAAATAGACAAACTTCCTTTTGATTCAGTACTGGTTGCAAGGAAAGTTACTGGACCTGGGAGTGGCGGGTGGTAGGTCGTTACATGGCAAAGACGGAGCAGCGTGGGATGGCGCAGGATTTCTGCGTGACAGAAAGGGATGTTCTTACCAGCCCTTTCATCTTGACTTCTGTCACCCAGTTTCTCTCCTATAACAGAAGCGGGGGGGGGGGGG